CTTTCCCTCTCCTTCTCTTTCTTACAACCCACACTTCCCAAGTCAGCCAAGCTGTGGCAGAAGTTTGACCAGGCTCTAGCTGGTGCCACCAATCTCTCCTCTCAGGATGGCCAGTCCCACCCTGCCCCGCTCAGCCGAAAGAGGGGAAAGAAGATGGTGGCAGCTTCATCAGAGCAGATTCTGGTGCTGACTTCAGCAGTGGGGCAGCCAGAGAGGAGCCAGCATCCCTACCGACAGACCAGCTCTCCATCCATGGCATCCTGCTCATCCGTGCTGGCGAAGGAGACGCGCCCGCCGATCACCGCGCCGATGATGTAGACCAGCCACGTCAGGCGCCCTGCAAGCGAGACGCGCGTCAGAGCTGCAGCACGGGCTGCACCACCAGCAGCAGCACGGGAGCTGAGATCTGCAACACACTGAGACCTCAGAGCCAGGAGCAGCACAGGGGAAGCTGAGATCTGCAACCAGCAGAGACATCAGAAACAAGAACATCATAGGGGAAGCTGAGGAGATCTGCAACCAGCAGAGACATGAGAACCAAGTAGGAACATCACACAGGGGAAGCTGAGATCTGCAACCCATGGAGATACCAGAACCAAGAACATCATAGGGGAAGCTGAGATCTGCAACCAGCAGAGGCATGAAAACCAGGTAGGAACACCACAGAGGGGAAGCTGAGATCTGCAACCCACAGAGACATCGGAACCGAGCAGGTCTCACAGAGGAAGCTGAGGAGATTTAAATTTTAGTTTGGCAAAACCAGGATTCACCAGGGGTATCTCTCTCCTTAATGCCCATCCACTCCCAAATTCCTCAACTGTTCACTTGGAGGAACAGGCACAACTTCACTAGGAAAGAAACCAGAATGCCAGGTCTGCCTGGAAGATTTTAGTCATTTAAAGCCACTTTCTTGCAAACCTGTACCTGTGGATTTCAACATGAACAGCTGCTGGAAGCAGCAGCACTTTGGGTTGGAAGGGATCTTAAAGATCATCTAGATCCAACCCCCTACATGAGCAGGGACACCTCTCACTAAACCAAGCTGCTCAGAGCCCCATCCAACCTGCCCTTCAACACTTTGGCCTCCCCATATGGACAGTGGGGAGGTTCAAATGAGCACTTCATACCTGTCTCTGACAGGAGAGGGATGAGGCAGGCTGTGCTGACCACCTGTGGATGGGGAACCATCCTCAGAACTTGTCTGTGAAGGATTGGGCAAGGAGATGCACTAAATTTCCCCCCCAGAATGAATGGAGTCAGTTGTAGGACAGTGATATCTCCAGCCACCACTGCTGTGTGCCTTGGGAGGGGCTGTCCTCAGCCAAAAATATTCCACACCACACAGGCACCTTTCCAAGGGAATGCCTGAGATCTGCCCCCATATTATGGGTTTCACCAGGATTCCAGGCTTCTGAGATGGTCCTTTTGAGAATGGGCAACCTACAGCCAAGCTTGCAGGCCACAGCTCCCCAGACAGGCTCACCTTCTTGGACAGCAACATCCATGGGGCTGGCAGTGAGCAGATTCTGGTGCTGACTTCAGCAGTGGGGCAGCCAGAGAGGAGCCAGCATCCCTACCGACAGACCAGCTCTCCATCCATGGCATCCTGCTCATCCGTGCTGGCGAAGGAGACGCGCCCGCCGATCACCGCCCCGATGATGTAGACCAGCCATGTCAGGCGCCCTGCAAGCGAGACGCGCGTCAGAGCTGCAGCACGGGCTGCACCACCAGCAGCAGCACAGGAGCTGAGATCTGCAACACACTGAGACCTCAGAGCCAGGAGCAGCACAGGGGAAGCTGAGATCTGCAACCCACAGAGACATCAGAACCAAGAACATCATATGGGAAGCTGAGGAGATCTGCAACCAGCAGAGACATGAGAACCAAGTAGGAACATCACACAGGGGAAGCTGAGATCTGCAACCCACGGAGATACCAGAACCAAGAACATCATAGGGGAAGCTGAGATCTGCAACCAGCAGAGGCATGAGAACCAAGTAGGAACATCACACAGGGGAAGCTGAGATCTGCAACCCATGGAGATACCAGAACCAAGAACATCATAGGGGAAGCTGAGATCTGCAACCAGCAGAGGCATGAAAACCAGGTAGGAACACCACAGAGGGGAAGCTGAGATCTGCAACCCACAGAGACATCGGAACCGAGCAGGTCTCACAGAGGAAGCTGAGGAGATCTAAATTTTAGTTTGGCAAAACCAGGATTCACCAGGGGTATCTCTCTCCTTAATGCCCATCCACTCCCAAATTCCTCAACTGTTCACTTGGAGGAACAGGCACAACTTCACTAGGAAAGAAACCAGAATGCCAGGTCTGCCTGGAAGATTTTAGTCATTTAAAGCCACTTTCTTGCAAACCTGTACCTGTGGATTTCAACATGAACAGCTGCTGGAAGCAGCAGCACTTTGGGTTGGAAGGGATCTTAAAGATCATCTAGATCCAACCCCCTACATGAGCAGGGACACCTCTCACTAAACCAAGCTGCTCAGAGCCCCATCCAACCTGCCCTTCAACACTTTGGCCTCCCCATATGGACAGTGGGGAGGTTCAAATGAGCACTTCATACCTGTCTCTGACAGGAGAGGGATGAGGCAGGCTGTGCTGACCACCTGTGGATGGGGAACCATCCTCAGAACTTGTCTGTGAAGGATTGGGCAAGGAGATGCACTAAATTTCCCCCCCAGAATGAATGGAGTCAGTTGCAGGACAGTGATATCTCCAGCCACCACTGCTGTGTGCCTTGGGAGGGGCTGTCCTCAGCCAAAAATATTCCACACCACACAGGCACCTTTCCAAGGGAATGCCTGAGATCTGCCCCCATATTATGGGTTTCACCAGGATTCCAGGCTTCTGAGATGGTCCTTTTGAGAATGGGCAACCTACAGCCAAGCTTGCAGGCCACAGCTCCCCAGACAGGCTCACCTTCTTGGACAGCAACATCCATGGGGCTGGCAGTGGCACTCTGCAGCAGCTCCTGGTAGGACTGGGCTGACTGGTCAAAGAGCTGCACCAGCAGAGCACAGGTCTTCTCATACTCACACCGGCCAATGGTGGACAGCTGATCCAGCTGCTGCTGCACAAGGCCAGTGTCATCCAGGGGATCCTCCAAACCATCCCTGAACAGCAAGAAAACAGATTAGAAGTACAGAATGGTTTGGGTTGGAAGGGATCTTCAAGATCATCCTGTTCCAACTCCCTGCACGGGCAGGGACACCTCCCACCAGCCCAGGCTGCTCCAAGCCCCATCCAACCTGCCCTTTAACACCCCCAGGGATGGGGCAGCCACAGCTTCCCTGGGTAACCTGGGCCAGGCTCTCACCACCCTCACACTATCAACTACCCTTGGTCAGGACTGGGTGGTAACAGACTTTGAAGACTTAAAATGTAGACACAGCCTAAGCCGTAATATTTTGGTAGAGTTGGGTTAATGGTTGCTAGACTTAGGTTATGGTTGGGCTACATGATCTTAAAGGCCTTTTCCAAGCAGAATGACTCTGTGTTAAGCTTATTTCTATCAGCCAGAAGATGTTTTTTTCCAGGCATACAACAATTCCAGTGACTAAAGACTCTGCCTCTACACTTGGAGAGCTACACAGATTGATGTAATAACCTCCAGGTTACTGTGGCCATCAATCAGGAGAACAGCAGAGGCTCAGGTGGGAAGGCCACCAGGACCTGACATGAGTAAGCTCTTCTTACATCTTCAACATTTATCCAGGCCTTGTAAGAGAATGTGCAGTGCCAAGAACAAGGTCTTTGCCTGCTTGTCTTTGTGAACCCAAACTTTCCATCATGTTTCAGCTGCCTTCTCCTCTACACACACCAACCTCAACACCAGGTTCATTTCAAACCCCAGCCCTGCTGTTCCTCCCTTGCACTGCTAGATACCTAAAAAGGGACAAACCCATCAGTCTTCCTGAAAAGAGCCATTATTTTTCTGTATCTGACCATTTGTTTACATCAAACACAAACACACACAAGGCAGAATGCAGCCCCACAAATTCAGGCACTGCAGTGAGTCCTGAGGGCTGCTCCTGAACTCCAAGGCTGAAAAGAAGGAAAATAGGAAGGTACTTAAGAGGTAGAATTTGTGCCACCCTACAGCAGCAATGTAAAAATGAGGTGAATCACACTCTGAATCATAGAATCACAGACTGGTCTGGGTGTTAAGGGGCCTTAAAGATCATCTAGATCCAACCAGATCCACCTCCCACCAGCCCAGGCTGCTCCAAGCCCCATCCAACCTGCCCTTCAACACCCCCAGGGATGGGGCAGCCACAGCTTCCCTGGGCAACCTGGGCCAGGCTCTCACTACCCTCACACTAAACAATTTCTTCCTAATATCCAACCTCAATCTCCTTCCAGTTGCTGCCATGTGTGTGAATGTCATGTTGCAGATGTGTGAGAATGTAAGAGGAAATCTACCCACAACATGTTGGAGACCACTCAGCTCAGTCTGAGCTGAAGACTTAAGACTGAGCATTTAAAGTTGAGCAAGGTCTAAAAAGAAATTAAATACCTTTTTTTTTTTAATAAGAAACAGAATGTGATTCAGGTAAGAGTCCCTTTAAAACTCTTTGGTGACTCACAAACCCTCCCCTCCAGTCTTGGCCTGTTTTTAAAAGAAAGCTCAGCAGAGGAACCATCCCAGAGCTCTCTGCATTCAGGCTCTGGTGCTGCCATCTCTGCTTTTCTTACCTCAGGATGATGTGCACAGATTCCAGCCTGGATGTGATATAAGCTTTTGTGACTTCTGGTGTGTATGTTTCCAGCATGTGAGGCTCTGTGGCTTTAACATAGGGCACAGATGCAGCCAGTCTCTGCCACAGGCTCAGGAGATAGTGAACACTGTTTGGGGCAAACTCCCAGTGCTGCCAGGAGCCAAGAGCAGGAAGAAAAAGGAAACCAGTGAGTTCCAACCTTGATTACTTTACCCATATTATTTTGACTTCTGTAGCACCAGATACAGAATCATGGAATAGTTTGGGTGGGATGGGACCATAAAGATCATCTAGATCCAACCCCCTGCATGGGCAGGGACACCTCCCACCAGCCCAGGCTGCTCCAAGCCCCATCCAACCTGCCCTTCAACACTCCCAGGGATGGGGCAGCCACAGCTTCCCTGGGCAACCTGGGCCAGGCTCTCACCACCCTCACACCCAAGAATTCCCTCCTCATCTCCAACCTCCATCTCCTTCTCCCACTTTTCATCCATTCCCCTCATCCCATCCCTCTCTGCCCTTGTCCCAAGTCCCTCCCCATCTTTCCTGGAGCTCCTTCAGGCACTGGAAGCTGCTCTAAGGTCTCCCTGGAGCCTTCTCTTCTCCAGGCTGAACACCCCAACTCTCCCAGCCTGGCTCCAGAGCAGAGCTGCTCCAGCCCTGGGATCATCTCTGTGGCCCTGATAAGTTGCCCACAAATATGGCAAAATAGAATCATGGAATGGTTTGGATTGGAAGGGACCTTAAAGATCATCTAGTTCCGAACACGTAAAAGCTTTGATGATCTGCTTGCCCATTTTAACCATGAGTTGCACTTCACACCTGTATTCATTGGGCATTATCACCTTCCAACAAAGACTAAAAGATAATCCCAAGTTCCCAGACTGTGAAGCTCAGCCAAACCCTTTGGTCCCAAACTCCTCCCAAGCTCAGACTGTGGAGAGCTGCAGACAGCTCCCCAAAAGTGCAGTTTAAAGCTGTGATCAAGAGAAAACATTAAAACCTTAACAAACAAAGTCATTATGCAAGCTATACCATTTTTTTTTTAGCCCATCCCCTGTGCAGGGGTGTAGCTATCAGCCCTGTACCAGTGGAACACTCTGTGGGAATATGGCATAATGTTCACATTACTACCAATCCCTGCACTGGCATTTTAACACCAAAGTGATACAGAAATCAAAAAAATAAGCCTTATTTAACAAGGTGGGTTTGTTTTTTTTCCCTCCTCCCTGCTAAGACATGGAAAGCCTCTGGAGGAACAGCAACCCTGCCTTCCCCCACATCCTGCTCCTGTTCCATTCAGGAGGAATTCACAGGGTAATCAAGGCTACAAGCACAGGATTCTGTCCCAGAGCCAGCAAGGGGATGGAGGGAAAAATACCATAAAGTGAATTAATGGGCAAAGAATAGCCCAGAGGGTTGGAATTTTGGTTCCAGAGAAGACAAGGGGCAAGAACACCCATGGAGGGGAAGTAAAACCCTTTTGTACCTGCAGGCTGGTGACAGTGAAGTTGGCAATGAGTCGGATGACCTCGGGGTAGTTCTCTACCTTCACCAGCTCTCCCAGCTGGTAATTGCTTTTCAACCGGGCCAGCAACCGGCAGAACTCGTGGTAGTTGTTTGGGTCTGACAGGCTCTGAGAGGAGAAAAGGAGAGTGGAGAAGACATTGCATGAGGGCCAGCTGAGGGCCAACAGAGGGTATGCACACTTTTGGTGAAGAAACCTGATGCAGAGGAAGCACAATTCCAGGCCCTGCACCCGAAACACTCACCTGTGGGTTTTCCAGTATCCGTTTAACTCCGTCAACGAGATGAGATAAGAACTTTGCCCTTTCTGCATTGTTGAAAAGGGATCTGCGGACAGAGGCAATCTGCACCAAGCAGGATAAAACCTGCCAGGGGTAAAGAGAATTGACAGGGAAGGAAAGATCAGAACACCAACATGAACATTGCGTTTCCTTTTCACGATGTGGCAAATCGTTTCCACCTGATGCTCCTTTGGGTGCTACACAACAGGTCCTTCATCTCTGCAGTTGTGTAGGGTAGGTGAAATCATAACTACAAGTGCTCAGACTGCTCAGGGAAGTGGTGGAGTCACCATCCCTGGACGTGTTTAAAAGCCATGTAGGTGTGGTGCTGAGGGACATGGTTTAGCAGGGGACTTGGCTGAGTTGGATTAATGGTTGGACTTGATGATCCAAAAGGTCTTTTCCAACTGAGTCTACAAAAGGAACATCACCTCCACCCTGACATTATTCAGAGGTGGGTTCCCAACTCTGCTCCCAAACATGATGGGATTTCTTCAGATGAAGAACCCAGATCACTCAAGACTGAAAATACACCAGGGCTGGCAGGGGAAGCTGGTGAACAGCACTGATTTGGGGAAGTATCATGGAAGATAGAAGACTGGCAAGAAGAAGAATTAAGTTGTTTTCAACCCAAAGCTCTGAAATTTAAATTGAGAGTAAATTTCAAGGGTGCAGCTGCAGTTGTAATAGTCTGGTGAATGGGTTTGAAGAAGAGGGGCAGCTGGTCATGACCAGTAATCCCAAGTTCCCTTGAACAGCTCTACCTGCTCAGCCTCCCACATTTCCTGATCCAAGAGGCAGGACAATCCAAGGCCTAATTGCTTCAGATTTCTATTCAGTAATAAAAAAAGTCTCACACTGTTACATCTCTTTCATGAATATTTGAGGCTCTGAATGCAGAATTAGCAAGTAACCCTTCAACATAATGAGCAGTGCTGAGAAACACTTGGTGGAAAAAATACTTCCCTCCTTAGCTAAAGGCATTTTTTCCTTGTAGCATTAATTATCCAAAGTATTTATCCAATAGATAGATTTGCAGGCAGGTTCTCTTCTTTTCCAAGAAGAAATAATCCCAACTTCCAGTTCAGCTGTGCTACTGGGCCATTTCACCCAGCTGGGACCTGGCCTAGTTTTCCAGTGTGGAAGGAGAAATGACATTCTTGGGTTGTGCTGCCAGACCTGCTTCTTCCTCACAGGGGGGGGTTTAGGATCAACCTGGCAGTGCAGTGGGAATAACTAAAGCTACATCCCTCAGAAAGGGTTTATTGCTGAGCAGGCAGGCTCTAAGCTGTGCAAGGATCAAGCAGGTTGGACTTCCAGCAAAAAAACCTGCTTTAAGGTCAAACCCAAAACCTGTAGATGAATCACAATTAGCAGCAGCAGGACCAGCCTTCCTTTGGTCACCAGAGCACAAGGCAGTGCCACCAAAGTCAAGGTAACTCTGGAATCAGCCTATAACATTTTAACCAGCACTTGAGTCTCCCAGATGAATCCTACAAACACTTTGTGGTAGAGGAGTCTGTAAGGAAAAAAACAACACTCGACTTACCAGAGGAGAAAACGAAGGAGGGATGGAATGATACAGATCAAAGAACAACTGAAGTGTCGAAGAATCCAAGAATGCTGAAAGAGAAGGGAGCATTTTACTGAAAACAACTCAACTTGCTGCTTTCCACAGGTCTGAAGTTTCCCAACAATGGCCTGTGCTCTTGTCACACAACCTCCTTCCTAGAAATGAAGTGAACCCAGGGGCACTTGGTCTTAAGGCAAAATTACAGGAGAGTATTTTAAGAAGGCAATCTGTGAAACTGCCTGAAAAACCACTGCTGAGAACAGCAGGGATGGTAAGAACAGGGGGCAGGTTATTTCTTAAGTTACTTTTTTTAAAAGGAAAACCAAGTTGGCTGTTTCTTGCAACTGGCAAGTGTCAGACTGAAAGGGTAGAGGAGTGTTTTCATAGCCACGACAGCCAACCCAAACTGAACTGCATGTGTAATCACCCTGAGGAAAGGCTGGGCTGTACATCTGGCATCGCACGCACAGTTGACCTGCTCAGTAGACAGAGGGTTCCCAAGCCACCCCTGCCCTCAGCTGGTGTGCTGCAGATTAACCCTCTTCCTCCCCCAAGATTACCTGATCTCCAACTGGTTGGGATCTGCACAGTGCAAAGATCATCTGAGGACTCATCTGTTGATGTGCCAATGAAATCAAAGTTCAGGCAATTATGTGTCAGCTTAAGCAGCTGCATGAGCAGACCATGCTGGCTCTCATCATTTAGATTTAGGTTCTTCCCAGAAGCCTGGAAAATACATGGGATTAAAAAGAAAAATCAATAAAAAGATCAAGGTGACAGCTGAGTTTGAGGCAGCCATTTAACTTGAAACAGGATCATGTGTCACAAGCACCAAGCCCAGCTCTCACACACTCTTCCAGACAACATGTGGATGTACGTGCTCAGTCTTTACACAAGATGGATAAATAAATAGGCAGCACTTTCCTTATCACTTGGCTGGGACTGCAGAGGGGAAAAGCAGCCAGGCTTGCCAGCTTGCAGTTCCACTGTGAGATCCAAGAGATAAGGAAGTTCTGAGTAAGGTTAAACACAAGAATGTCTTTTCTGCCTGACAAGCACTTGGCAGCAGGGAATCCTGTTGCTCCACCTAACCCTGTTCTGGAAAGGAGAGCATTCCCTGTGGTTGCACAGATCATCTGTGTGAGCTCTGCTGTGCTTACAGCTTGCTGGGGAAACAGGAATACTTTCTGGGAACACAAAGAACTTGATTGACACAAAATGACAGGTCATTTCACTGAGGTTTAAACGTAGGACCCGGGTCAGTAGAGCAGGGATAGGCCACTCTACCCTTTGTATTATCACTTGGTACTTTAACTTCTTCCAGCTGGGCTCTGCTGCAGATCACCCATGGGATGTCTTCCTTTTGATAAGGGCTTCCAGTGAGAAAACAAGGGGTGATGGTTTAAAACTGGAAGAAGGAGATTGAGGTTGGACATGAGGAGGAAATTCTGGGCTGTGAGGGTGGTGAGAGCCTGGCCCAGGTTGCCCAGGGAAGCTGTGGCTGCCCCATCCCTGGGGGTGTTGAAGGGCAGGTTGGATGGGGCTTGGAGCAGCCTGGGCTGGTGGGAGGTGTCCCCGCCCATGCAGGGGGTTGGATCTGGATGAGCTTTAAGGTCCCTTCCCACCATTTTATGACTCTATGATGATTTCTGAGACCTCTAATTGACCATCAAATGCACCTGAAATAAGCCAATGAACTCAAAATCTTCCAGAGCTGTTATGGTTTAGGAGGATGGGGAAGGCTGACTGGGATAACTGTACAAGCCTTTGCTTCCTTGAGAAACCAGGAAGAGAAAAAAGATCAAATTACACCCACATACCCACCTTTATTCCTGACAGAACCAGAACTGCTCATTCTGAAATGGCTTTAAAATAAAATTTCCTGTTCACTCTTTGTGCTATTTGTCAACTTTGACACTTCACTCAGCTTGAAGGATAAAAGTGAAACCAATCAAATCTGTGCCAGTGCTGCTCAGTTTATTGGGGCTGACTTTCCCATAAAGGCCTGTTCTTGCAGGCACCATCAGGACTCCAAGTTAGCTTTTTAGAAAAGAAATCTGGTACAGAATCAATAATTTTCTTCAGGTCATCTATCTGCTTATAAAACACCTCTGTGCTGAAAGAAAACATCTGCTTTTTAGGGGATAAAAATCAATCCCACTATCAGAGCTTTGCTGCCTTGTCCCAGGAGAAGTATTTTGAAAGCAAGTTGACTCAGGTGTGATAATTAGGTGTGATAATGAAAACTGGGGAACACAAGACAGTCTAATGTTTTAAAACATGAAAAACAATCTTGAGTCTCAATCTACCAAATGGGTCTTCACCTGCCTTGTTTCCTCTCACCATGTGGGTTTTAAAAGAGAGGTTGAAAAAAGAAAGAAGGATTTATTTAACAGGAATCCCCTCTGCAACTACTGTAAACCAAAGGTATTGATAAAGTAAAAACTAACAGCTCATCTCTTCCCTGATGCTTTAAGACAGGAGAATTTAACTCAGGCCTCATGGCCCAGGCATGAATGTTCAGTGGAAATTGTTGAAGTTCTATTTATTTGTGTCTTGTTTGTTTGGTTTTTTTCTTAGTACAAACCTCAAAGCTTTCCTGGATAACAAGACCTGAACACAGCTTTTACAAGGAGAGGGCTGGTTCCAGGAGGGAACTTCAGCCCAAAATCTGTCACCCCAACATCCAGCCCCCAAGAGAGATGACAAAGGAGTTTCCTTACCTGTTTCAGTAAGTTGCATGACAGTGTGAAAATATCAAATAAGGATGAATCTCGGAAGGAAGAGGCTATTTTCCTGTGCTTGGTCAGTGGGTGAGTAGTATCAGCCTGAGCAGAGAGAAAACCAGGGCTTAGAACTGAGGGGCAGAAGTGGAACAAGACCAGCAGAACCTGCAGGAACCCTGTTAAGCACTGGGACATCCAGGTTTCCCTCCCCAGAGCCATGTCCCCCTGGCTGAACCAGGGTGGATCCTGCCACTGCAGGATCCTGACTCCTCCATGGACAAATCCCCCAGGACATTCCACCTAAAACACTTACAGTGCAGTCTCACTGCACCCCTGCCAGAAAGCAGGGTCAAGTTTTACTCTCAACTTCCCTTAAGTCTCTTCCAAAGCAGGATGGACAACAGTTATTTCCACCAGCACTGAAGTAATTTTAGAAACCTGAACACTGCTTCCTTTAGTGCTCCCAAATTCCTGAGAGTTCAATCCTACCTGAGGCTGCTGGGTAGACTCATGGTCAACTACTAGTAACTGTAATTCCCCTCCTGAATCTGCACAGATGAGAAGAGAACTAGAAGGAGAGTTAACCAGTGACAGCCAGTTTGGACTTTGCTCTATATGCTGAGAGGTCCAAACCTGGAGTTTATCAGAATAAAAAACCTGATATATAAGAGGCCAATAGATTTTGGTTTATACTGGGTAGGAAAGTCTCCAACGGATTCACTTGTAGCACAGGCCAACACAACCTGTGTCACTCCATGGCCTGTTGTCTACGAAGAGGAGAAAAGTGAGGTGATCCTTCACAGCTCTGCCACTTCTGGGAACACTGGCTGCCCAAATTCCACTTGCCCAGGGTGAGTTCTGTGATGGGCAGTCACTGGGTGTGGGATGGAGCCTTCCTGCAGCCCAGTGCAGAGGCATGAAACCTCTCATTTTCTTGATGCATTTATTACTGCATCTCTGTTAGCCTTCAATATCTCACCCAGCACTGCAGGAACCAGGACAGCTCTGACCACTCCCTCACTTGACCACACTAACCTTCACAGCCACCCCTTGGGAGGATACAAACACTTTGATATCACAGATACAAAACAGATGTCTCATATCACAGATGAAAACCAGAAGCTCTGCATCACCCAGTAGCTGGTGGCAGAGCAGAACTGGTCATAAATTACTACTAGTAACTGTAGTAATTCCCCTCCTGATGCACCACAGAGAAGAGAACTAGAAGGAGAGTTAACCAGTGACAGCCAGTTTGGACTTTGCTCTATGATATGCTGAGAGGTCCAAACCTGGAGTTTATCAGAATAAAAAACCTGATATATAAGAGGCCAATAGATTTTGGTTTATACTGGGTAGGAAAGTCTCCAATGGATTCACTTGTAGCACAGGCCAACACAACCTGTGTCACTCCATGGCCTGTTGTCTACGAAGAGGAGAAAAGTGAGGTGATCCTTCACAGCTCTGCCACTTCTGGGAACACTGGCTGCCCAAATTCCACTTGCCCAGGGTGAGTTCTGTGATGGGCAGTCACTGGGTGTGGGATGGAGCCTTCCTGCAGCCCAGTGCAGAGGCATGAAACCTCTCATTTTCTTGATGCATTTATTACTGCATCTCTGTTAGCCTTCAATATCTCACCCAGCACTGCAGGAACCAGGACAGCTCTGACCACTCCCTCACTTGACCACACTAACCTTCACAGCCACCCCTTGGGAGGATACAAACACTTTGATATCACAGATACAAAACAGATGTCTCATATCACAGATGAAAACCAGAAGCTCTGCATCACCCAGTAGCTGGTGGCAGAGCAGAACTGGTCATAAATTCATCAAATGCTCTAATGATTAAGTTATTCCACAGCTCATGCTACTGACTTTCAGGGTGTTGAAGAAAATGAACATTAGTTACTCTCCTTGTGGCAAAGGAGCATTTCCTCTTTCTTCACCATAAGGTCACATAGCTTATATCAGTGAACTTCTACAATCCAGTGGACACTCTACCTCTGGGCAAGTCTGTGCAGTATTTACAGGATGAAAACTGATACTTCAGAACAGTTACTAGTGCTCTATTTTATTTGTACTATTTTGGAACAAAAGCTTTAGTAAACAGAGCTCAAGACATTTCAGCTCTCATGCAACACAGCTGGAAGTTTAAATAATTACCAAAAAAGGTCTGAGAAGCCCCAGAAGGGGGTTTTGGGTGGGTTTTTTGGATTTGTACATGTACCTGACCCTGCTCAGGTGAGTGGGCACGTTGGCAGGTTTATTATTTTGCAAGTCAAGGCAGTTTCAGACTTTCCAAGATGAGTCACTCAACTGCTGCCACCAGGTACACTGAGGAACAAGCAGTAAACTGTGGCAGATTTAATACCCAAGATATGAGGAAGAGATTTTTGATCAGCCTTTAATTTAATTTCTTATTTTAGTATCAACCTGTAGAGACTCTGGAACTGGGGCAGTTTCTGTGCTGATTGCTCTCCTACAAGCAGAAGCTGAAGCCCTGGGTGAAGATGCCAACAGACATTTATACAAGTAAATAAACAGATTTCTTGCTTTTATCCTTGATGCAAGGAAGGGAAGGACTGACCCTCTGCAGAGATGAATTTAGGGTTGCACAAAAGCCTGGGCAAGGATATAACAACAGGACATGGTTTAAGACTCAGGAGGAGATCTGTGGGTCAGGATTTACTGATCAGGCCAGGCTTGAAGATTGAGGTGAATCTGGGCTCTGCAATGGATGCAGAAGGCACTCTTTAAAGCAAAGGGCTTGGGCAGCTCAGAGGTGCTGAACTTCATAAAGTCCAGCAGAAGAAACTGGTGCTTGGCCCTGGCCAGGACAAACCCTTCTCCATTTCCAGTTCTGACAAGAATTTGTAATTATCCTTCAAATCCCACTCAAGGATCTCTCTGTTTCAATGCCTGGATCACTCAATATACCAGCAGAAATGAAGGGCTTGTTTCCTTAGGAGATATTAACATAAAATCTTAGTTACACCTGGTTCTCTTAGCAAAATCAGAGATAACCAGTAGAATTTGAGAACTACCTGCTGGGAACTCTACGAAAGTTAGTGCTGAATGAAAAGGGCACTTCTAAAATCTGCACCATTTGAGAAATCCTCTTTGTTTCATTTCTCTGGTGGGTAGAGATGAGGGCTCCTTTCACTTCTTGGCACAAAATGCTGTGAGATGAAACAATGCAGAGGGACAGAAGGTGTTGGGGGGTCCTCAAGCTCAGGGCTTTGTCCTCTCTAGGAGGGCTGGGCTGGCTGCTTAGAATTGCTTTTCCCTTTTTCATCTCAGAACATGACACCAAAGTATGAAGAGAAGATGGAAAGATGCCAGTGAAACAAAACAAATCCTCAGGACAGGAGGTTTCAGCATCTTACCACAACAGTGACTGTGTCAAAAATCAAAGGAACAAACAAAAAACCATAAAAAACCCACAACACCCCCCTCCCCATGATAAAAAGAACAACAACAACCAACCAAAAACAACCCCAAACAATGCACAGACACACAGCAGGACACAACAATATGAATGAGAAAATTGGACACTTACTTCACTGAGGAAGGCTGTAGCACTTACTTGATTAATTTCATTAGTTAGTTGGGACAGGATTGTCACTCCTATGATGCAGTGCTCTACACTATCCTGAGGAAGGAAAGGGGGACAGGGAGAGCAGTTAGCAGTGCCAAGAGGTTTTCATGAAGCTTCATCCAACACTCTTCTGCTTGGAAGATTTCTGGACATGTTTGCCTATAAAGGCTTCACCTTTGTAGTTTTATGACTGGAAAAAAGTCCATGAGCAACACTCAGAGAATCTAAAATGTGCTTTTCCAGCACTCAAGTGTTGTGAACAATGCAAAGGGTTCTAAAAAGCTTGGTGATGTGAGCTAATAAAAATGGGCTCATTTTTAAAATAATGTCATCAACATTTCTGTGTTATGTTCTAACTCAAAAAAATCTAAATCTTTTCAATCATAGAATCATGGTTTGGTTTGGAAGGCTCTTAAAGATCATACTGTTCCAACCCCCTGCTTGGGCAGGGACACCTCCCACCAGCCCAGGTTGCTCCAAGCCCCATCCAACCTGCCCTTCAACACCCCCAGAGATGGGGCAGCCACAGCTTCCCTGCCCAACCTGGGCCAGGCTCTCACCACCCTCACACCAAAGAATTCCCTCCTCATCTCCAACCTCCAGCTCCTTCTCCCACTTTTCATCCATCCCCCTCATCCCATCCCTCCCTGCCCTTGTCCCAAGTCCCTCCCCAGCTTTCCTGGAGCCCCTTCAGGCACTGGAAGTTGCTCTAAGGTCTCCCTGGAGCCTTCTCTTCTCCAGGCTGAACACCTCAACTCTCCCAGCCTGTTTTTAATTTTAACACAGGCTGTGGTAAAACCTGTGGACATTTCTGCAACATTAGCATGAGTATTACAGTTGCCAGAATAAAACTCCGGGAAATAAACTGTTATTTGTTTGTTTCCCCTTTTACAACTCCAAACCTTGAACAACAGGAGTAGCAGATGACCAGGTTTCTCCACAGACCCACCCCAGGACCCTCTTACCAGCCCATCTCCCCATGAAGGGAGCTCATTCTTCCCAGCCTGCTCAGCCACTGGCTCCACTTGAGGCTGCCCAACAAGGGGCCAATTGTGAATTAATTCTACTGCAGACACTTCACTAGAAACTCTCATCCATTCATCAAATGAATTAAAGAGAATCAACCTGGATTGTTCTTTTGCCCCAGTTTCTTTTCTGGAACTAATAAAAGCTGGTTCTTTTCCTTGCTCTGCATCTTCTGTTCAAATTTCCCTTTTAAGACTGAACTCAGGAGAAATTCAGGCCTTTATATGTTTGGGATCTTTGGCCACTTCTTCTCTGCAGCCAACTCGTGATGACAGTCTCAGTATTTTCATGAGAGTATCTAGAGAGAAGCCACTGGAAAACCCTTTTGAATCCATGTCTTGGAAGAAGTGCAGCCTCCTGCACATTCCAGCAGCCAGAACAGGGGAACAGATGAACACAGCAAGCAGATATCAAACCTCTAATTAGGTTCCTGATTTAAAAGTGCACATTCCCCACGTCATGAGTTGGGACAGTGATGAATCTAGCTCTGATAACTGCAGCTAAGAGCACCTCTGATCTATGTGGGACAGAGTTACCAGCCCAGAAACATGATCTTAAATTGCTTAACACTTTCTAGATCCTCCTTCACTGCAGACATCTGTGAATACCTAAAACAACAGCAGTTAGGCTATTTTCTGAATGCCCACAGGCCATCACTCCAGAATTAAAGCTTGGTCCACATTACAACTCCTTTTCCACACTGGGAAAAATTTCTGGTCACTCTGATCTCTGCTACTGCCTTCCTCCAACTTCTGGTTTTGGGATATATTTCAGAGCAAAGAAATCAGCACTTAAGAGTGTTATGGGACTTTCTGGGAGGAAGTTTGAATTGGGAGAGAGCCTTTGATAACAATGTCACCTTCTGCCTAACCAGTCTGTTGGGCTGGGACTGAAACCCTGATAACAGAGTCCTCAGGGTTGGAAGGGACCTCTGGAGATCATCCAGTCCAACCTCCTGCTAGAAGAAGGTCAACCTACAGCAGATCCCACAGGAACACATCCAGATGGGTTTGTAATGTCTCCAGGGATGGAGACTCCACAACCTCCCTGGGCAGCCTGTCCCAGGGCTCTGCCACCCTCACAGTCAAGAAGTTTTTCTTTATGTTTAGCTTGAGCCTCCTGTGCTCCAGTTTGTGCCCATTGCCCCTTGTCCTGTCACTGAACACTGTGGAAAAAGAGTCTGGACCCATCAGGAGAAGAGAGATTATTGTTTTTGATGCAGTAGCAACCACCTCCAGCTCACAGAGCAAGAAAGCAGACTTTGAAATCAAAAAGCCAAGATTAATCTACAGCAAAAGGCTGGCAAATCCACAGGAACATTTCTGAACCAACAGTTATGGCTTCTAAAGAAAATAGTTCACATTAACGCCTGCATCACATGCTGGCTTTCAACTACAGTTTGTTATGGTAACTCAGATGAATATCAAACATGCCTTTCGTGGAGGTATCACCCTTGCAGTGGTTGGAAGCAAGTCAAGCAGGGCAGGTATTTCCTTGTAGACAATAAACCCTCCTGTGTACCACTTTGCAGTCACCAGGATGGTGTTTTTAAGCTCAAGATCTTGACAAAAGAATTGTGCAACGCTAAGGACGTGTCTTACCACTGAATACTCATGGTGGCAGCTGCCAGAAATAAATCCCTGCCCCACCACACTTTGAAGAATAACAACTGACCCATCCTGCCAGTTGGCAGCTGCTTAGCCTTGGTAGGGACTATTCAATCAACAAAGCACAGAGGAGACTGGACCAAGGACACGAAGGCGCAAAACGAGAACTGAAAATGCATCAACATCTCAGTCCCACGAGGTGTGTATTCACCTCACACAAAAATCTGACCTGTAAAAACCTTGTGACATCTGTGATCACGTTCCTGAAGACATACTCATCCTTCTGACAGTCAAACCAGCCCAGCTTGGTGATCCTGGCATAGAGCTGGATCAGTGCTTGCGTGACAAACGTTGCCAGCTTTGGCCTTGTGGCAAGGTAGTTGAGCACATAGTTCCCTGAAACACAGAGAAGAGGTTTCTGTGGACAGGAAAAATGGCAGAAGGAACTGAAGTGGTAACACTGATGGAAAAGTATCTTTTGGAAGGCTGCTTTAAAAAAAAAAAATCAGGACAGAAGTGGGTTAGATACAAACATTTATGATCTATGCCTTGAACACAGCAGAGATGTGGAGCAAATCTGGAAGGTGGCTGGAAACAGGGGAGAGCTCCTCCCCATCAGCCTTGGTTTGTATTATCACTTGGTTTGTATTATCAGATTAAGTCCAACCAGCCTCACTTGGTTTGTATTATCAGATTAAGTCCAAGAAGGAGCAAGAAAAGCTAAAAACATTTCAAGACCTCTCCTCAGGGATGACCACCTACCACACATGTGTAAAAAAGAAAGCAGACTAAAGTGGCATTCAGCCTCCTTCCTGGGAGGAGAGGAACTCTCAGCCATTCTCCAGGAGAGAGCTGTGACAGGCTGGTTGCTCCCTTAGGAAATGGTATTTCAGGGACCCATAAAGGCTTTGCAGTTGTGAAAGCATGTCCTCAGCAGAGGCAGTCACCATGCATATCTTACACTCCACAAGAAATCTATCAAATGCAACTGGTTTATTCACAGAATCCTCATTCCCTTCCACCTGGAAAAATTCAGTATATTTAGCCTTGAGCTCTGTTAGGTGCTCAAGCTGAAGACAAAAGAGAAAAGCTCCTTTGCTTTTTGGACATCCTACACCTTAGAACACCCAAACTTTGAAGCACAGCAGCTTGCAGGGAACCTCCCACCCAAGGATCAAAGCCCATACAACAAACATCCCCATCAGTGTGGCTGGGAAAGTGAAGGTCTTGTACTTACGAATATCTATTCGCTGTTCCAGTGGTAAAGGGTTGTTTGTGCGTGACACCAGTTTTGTAAGGCATGTGGCTGCCAAGAGCTGGGAGTAGGATGACTGTAAGGGGAAAAAAAACAACACCCCACAAACAGAAGTTTACCCCACACTGCAGAAGATGAAGCAGCAATGCTGGATTTTAAATTAAGTGCTCTCTGGAAATTTTGAGTTTAAAGCATTCATTGGTTAAGTCTAAACACTCTATGGAGCATTTATTCTGGTTTTATAGATACTGAAGGGAAACAAAGACTTGAAGTGTTTTAAGAAAGAAAGGAAAAGCATTTAAAGAGTAGAAGACAACAGAACTGCTACTGAAGGCAGAAGAACCAGAGTTAACCTAAGGAAGTTGATTTAAACATCACACCTGAAAAAAACAGCCCTCTGAGCCACAGGAGTATGTTACTGTACATTAAGGGGCATTTACAGCTGCCTCTTGACTACTAAACACAGGTTGAAATGTATTACTTACAGAACAGCACACAGATCACTGAACTGTAATCTAATTCAGGGACAAAACTAATGGCATTAACCACCTCAAACCTCTGGCTGAGCCTGATTCCATAAATTACAGCCAGGGAAGTGACAAACACTTGGCATGCTAATTCCTGTCACACATGGTACCACAGAAAGGTGAGCACCCATCATGTAGGAAACCTATTTATTCCAACATTCCCTAGGACAGTTGGGTATAAAATAAGTCAGATCCCAGACTGAACAAAAAGCCCCAGACCTCTCTGGCAAGGCCCAGAAGGAACCTAGGCTTTAGGAACTCTCCTTACAAATATATCTATTTCTTTGTCCTCAGGTAAACCAGCTACTATTTCCCACCTGAAGGGCTTCAAGTGAGTTTGTTATGAATTAACTGGACTTGAAATACAACAAAAAGTTCAATAATTTGCTTTGTGCAAGTTTTCTGAGCCTGTTAAGTGTTACTCTTTGCCCTTCCCTTCACCATCCCCTGCTGGAGGACTCCTTCTTTTTCATTTTTCCTGGTTTTGTGAACAAGGCCCCAGTCTGACAGGTAGGAAAGCTGGATGCACACACTGCCAAAAGCCAAACCGTGCAAGATCACGTGGCAAAGTAATTTTTAACATCATTTGTGCTGATACAAAGTCAAAACCAAACTACCACTTCACAAGAAGTTAAAAAAGCCAGGCTGGATTTTCTGCTGGCAGATTTTACATCCTTTCTGTAACACTGATTCTAAAGCACATGATCTAATTTTCTCTGGTTTAAACTGATGGATTATTAAGACAACAGCACAGGAGGGGCAATTTTCCAAGGAAACATTCCAGCAGG